TTCCTTCCTTCCTTCCTTCCTTCCTTCCTTCCTGATCAGCATTTTCATAACTTAATCATGCTGATGGCTTAATGCTAGCTATTGGCTGGCTTGTCTGAACCATTTCTTAGTGGAGCTTCAGGATCATTGTATTTCTAGGACTACTGATTATTTTCTCGTCACTAACATATAGACAAATGCTCTGGGATAATGTACGGATCAAAGCATTTGCAAGCAGTTCCCACAATGCTATTCAAACTATGGGCATCCTACCTCCTTTGGTGTGTTCTAGCATGTCTCAGAATTATAACAACACATTTCAGCTGTGCAGCCCTGCAAGCCATTTGAAAAAAATAAATTTAAAAAATTGTACAGATCTGCCAAGATGCCAAAACAGCCCCTGCCTCAGCATGGATTAGCACCGGTGCACAGTGTCTATTCACACCTTACATTCTGTGCTATAAATTTGTACCAAGTATGGTCTATCTCTGAAAAGTACATCCAAAACAATAGGAGTTTGGGAACGTCACTGCACCAGAAAAGTTTGTGCTTTATCGGGTAAGTTGCCTACCAAACTACATCTAGTGTCTTCTGAGCTGCAAAGGATTGTGGTTATGATACGGGCAACTATATGTTAAATAAATAAATAAATGTGCAAACGGCCCAACTTACTAATGAGAGTTGCAAACAACAAAAGCTGCATTCCCAGAAAGCTTGAATTCTTTTTTCTAAAACAAAACCAAACAAAAATGGCGGAATGCAATCGTATCTGATAGTGGGTGACACCGATCAAAATTATAGATATGCCCAGCCTTTCTTCCCTCATCAATGTGCTGAAGAACCCATAACATATGTGGGAGAAATGGCATTACCAGAGTTTGTGGGGGGGGGGAGGGGGTAGCCATGTTAAATTCCAGCAGGCGGCACAATGGGCTGGGCTTGAAGGCTTTCTATCTGGAGGGGAGACCACTCAGCCATCCCAGGGTGGCAAACTGGACTGAGAATGTGGTAAAACATCCCAAAGGAAAGCAGTGACATACCACTTCCCTAATGTAGCCAAGGAAACTGCACAAATGTATCCATGAGATATTCAGGAGATACTCAGCTCAAAGGAGGCTTTACTTTTTCTTGGCAATGTAGCTTTATGTTAAGTAAGAAATTCTTAGAGTCTACTGTGAGACTAGCCTGAAGCTGCCATAACTAAAGATGAAGCAGACATGTAGACAGAGAGGGCAAAAAACCAGGAATCCTGTCTTTCGAGGGGGTAGATAAGAAGGAAAGAAGTTGTTAAGGAAACAAAGAAAAAATATCATCTGAAGCAGACAAAGGAAGTTGGGTCTCAGCACATGGAAACCTCCCCTCAGTCTGATCAACAGCTACCAGACTTGTAAATTAACAAGGCAAGAGTAGCTGCCAGTCTTGTGAATCAACAAAGCAAAGACATTTGGCGATAAAAGTGGTCCTGAAGCCCACCCACTCTTTGAGTCATCTTTGGATCCAGACTCGGCAGCTTCCATCCCTCTAGCTAGTGCCTGACAGTCTAGTAGAGAAGGACGTGGGTAAGTGTGGATGTGTGTGTGTGTGTGCGTGTGTGAGAAAGAACAAATTTACATTATAATCTGTAAAGTTCTGCTGTTACCTTAAATTCACTGGGTCTCCCTGTATTCCTAAGAACCTGTTGTGCCTCAGTGTTCGGTGGGAAGTGATTTGTGTGTATCCCTAATTACTTCCCGGATGTTGTCCAGGGCTGTGTGTCTTGTCTGTTCTAACCGCACCTATCTGGAAAACCCAGGTAGAAAGCAAGGGGGGCTGACAAGATCCGTGTGCCTCAACAGGCAGTGAATATGTGAGTGAATGACCATAAGCCGAACCTGGGAGCACCTGTAACTTTAAGCGTTATTACGTTTTTAAGGCATATATAAAGTCCTTTCCAAAGTTTTATTTATCAAATGACCCTGATTTGCGCTCATCTATTATGCTTCTCTCAGGTTGGCACTATTGCTGGGCTCATATAGAACCTAGGAAGGACACAGTTTAGGTTCCTTCTTTAAGACCTCCGGCTGGCAGTCAAAGCAATCAAATGGACTAAACAACCATCTCTAAGGGACCTCGGCAGAAGGATATTGCCAGTTTTAGTCTAAAAGCTCATCACCATCATTTTCTGTTTAGTGTAGTGTAATGTTGGAATAGTGGAGATGGCTTCCTTTTAGCACCAATGCAAGCACTCTACTACGGCCAGCTGCCTCAACATTCTTGGCTTTGAGTCCTCCTGTCCTCTCACCAACTCTGCTCAAGCCTATTTGTGGTTTGTTGCCACGCTGTATCGCCTCTGCCACTCTCACTGACTCATTAGTGCAGGGCAGAGGTGTTCAGCAGTCTCTTCAGAGTTTGACTGAGAAGACGAAAAATGGAAATTTAGAATCCCATGTCCCCTGCACAGAGTTCTCACATATAAAAGCATGGCCATGCTTCTAGGCTACTGTAGCATTCCTGTTCCCTGGTAGAATAATGAACATAACACATTTTGAATTTGGGGAGGACCTGATGAGCCATTCTGTTACTTCTATCAAACAAAGATACTTTAGATTTGGTTTGGTTCCTGCTTCTTGAAGAGCAGCAATCAGTAGCATTCCTTGCCCTGTTGGCCCACTGATGACTGCAGTCTCCTTGGCTTGACTGGGAATCAATTTGATATTTATGAGCTTTTCACAAGTCTTTATCGTTTAGGTTGGTGGTAACACTTCAGTTATAAGCCAAGTCAAAGATCCCAGAAGGTAACCAGACAAAATCCATCAAAAGATTACAAATGTGGCAAATGGAGATTTATTTACTTATTTGTCATAATTCTGTTTTGTGTGTGTGTGTGTATGTTCTGCACTGGTTTGAAAGCAGTGTTGCAGTATGTGAAGCTATTTAAATACACACACACAAACAATAGTAGCATGGCTATTACAGTATTGCCATATGGAACAGTAGTTTGATTTTCATGACCTTGAATACTCTTGTGTGCCAGAAACCTGTTCCAAGCACCCAAAGACACAGCTCCCATATAAAGATGTGAAGGCTGAAGCAATGGGCTGAAACAAAGAAAAACAATTGTCAAACAAAAGTCTGCTTCGTTGGTGGTCTTTTAATCAATGCCAGTAAATCAAATTTCACACCGTAAGAGTAAGGAGATGCAAAGAAGTTTATTTATGATTGTATACTAGATAAAAATGTATAGAAAGGGGTTTGATTCTTTATAGAACTGAATATTAAGAAATGAAAAAAAAAACAAAGTAATTGCAAACTCTGGCAAGTCACAGAACCTCTATGCTGCATTGATTTGGAAGCTGTGCTGCAATATTTGAAGCTACCCAAATACCCAAATTCAGGTATAACCAGTAAAATAAATTGAGGGAATTCTGAATTTCTGAAATCTATGGTAGTTAACGTTCTCAAATTAGAAGCATGATTCTCCCTCCAGCTTTCTTTTCTTCAAATAGATTCCCTCTATTTGTTGTAGTCTAGTTATCTTATCATAGCAATCTTTATATTCTTGTAAGAAATTTCAACTGACCCTGGACTTATAGAAACCTCTAGCTTTTAGGGGATGATTTTATGCCCACTTAGGCAATTGGGAAGGGTTATTTTCCCCATACAAGCAACAGTGAGTTTCCCTGCCCATCAAAAAAAAAACATGCCAATGAAATTAAAAGACACCCACGTGTATGGCACAACTACTACACCTCAAAGAGAGATTGTGTCTTCCTTTTCACTGACAACCTATTTTGACATAATTGGAGGAATAGACTGGGCAGGAAGCCAGAGAAGAACTTTGTTCTAAGTAAACAAAGACTTCTCCACCTGGACACAAATAAGTTTGGCACCACCAACAGCTTAAAGTATTTAATAACACAGTCCATGCATCTTTAGGCTTTCTTTATCTTTGACAGCTCTGTGTTAAGAAAATTAAAAGTAAAGCCATGTAGCTGATACAATGACAAGTTAATCCAGTGATTAAGGACCCCCACAAAAAAAGATTAAATGTTCTTGTTTTTAGCTGTAAGATTCCTTGAACATTCAGTACAAAATGGCTATTCAGCTTAAAGGTGCTTGTAAAACGTTCAAAATATTGCTAGCGTTAATTGCTTAATTATTGACTGGAATAACATTTAGGCAAACGCTAGATAGAATTAATTCCTTAAGGAAAGTTTAATAGCTAGAATTGGCATTGTACCCCCCACCCAATACTAATGTATGTCA